TGCACATGCGTGTGTGGAGGCCAGAGGTTGACAGCAAATGTCTTCTGCAATGGCTCTCTACTCATTATTTTTCTTTTTTGGTTTTAAATTTACTTATTTTTTGATTTTGGTTTTTTGAGACAGGGTTTCACTGTGTTGCTTTGGAACCTGTCCTAGAACTCTCTCTGTAGACCAGTCTGGTTCCAAACTCAACAGAGAGCCACCTGCCTCTGTCTCCAGAGTGCTGGGATTAAACAAAAGTGTGCGCCATTACCTCCAGGCTTTAATTTCTTTTATGTGCATTGGTGTTTTGCCTGCATGTATGTCTGTGTGAGGCTGTCGGATCCCTTGGAACTGAAGTTACAGACAGTTGTGAGCTGCCATGTGGGTGCTGGGAATTGAAGCTAGGTCCCCTGGAAGAGCAGCCACTGAGCCATCTGTCCAGCTCCTTTCCCTCCCAGATGGTACATAGCGGTCACTGTGCATGGCTGTAGGTGAAGACAGTGTGCTTGAGACCTTATAACCCCTGATACAAACCCAAAATGCTGAAACCAGGCTGGTGACTAACCCACACTCAGTGACACAGCCCAGGCACAGTCTGTCAAGGAGGGAGCCACTTGGGGTCTGAAGAGGCTTTGTAGGACCGGAGGACCACAGTGACGTGTTCAGTGCCTAGGAAAGAGAGACATCCTCTCAGCAGTATTTTCCATGCAGGCACTGCCCAGGAAGCAGAAGGGAGGGTCCATCTCTCCATTCACTCGGTCATCTCAGTGCTGGTGAAAACATTCTTCTTCCCATATACACAAACATCAGATGGGGAAGCCTGGTGTCTCTGAGCTGGGACACAGGGTCTTAGACGCTAATTTCCCAGCTGTGGAGCCTTTTGGAAGGTACATTAATTTCTACTTTGTTTCTTTGCTTTTTTGGTTTGTTTTTGTTTTTTGAGGCAGGATTTCTTTGTGTACCAGTCCTGTCTGTCCTGGAACTAGCTCTGTAGACCAGGCTGTCCTCGAACTTAGAGATCCACCTGCCTCTGCCTCCCGAGTGCTGGGATTAATGGTGTGCGCCATCACCGCCTGGCTCTTTGTTTCTATTTTTATGTGACTTCAAATTGATATCTGACCTTGGGCAAAGGCAGCTGGGAACTTGCTTTTTGGTCTTATCTTTGTTTTGTTTTTTCTCTTTGTGTGTGTGTCTTTTGTTTAATCCCCAGGCCTTTGCCCAAGCTCGTGGTCGGTACGGAAGGTGCGCAAACCATACCGGAAGGGTGGTGCAGAACCGGGTACCCACACATTATGAAAGTTAAACTGAGGCAGGAGAGTTGATTCTCACCTGTAATCCCAGTATTCAGAAAACTGAGGCAAGAGGATTATGGCAAATTCAAGTTCTCCCTAGACTATTGAATAAGACGTGCCTCAGGAGAGAGAGAGAGAGAGAGAGAGAGAGAGAGAGAGAGAGAGAGAGAGCAAGGAAAAGAGAGAGGAGGAAGAACAGAAGAGAGAAATACATAATTGATTACATGTACAAGACGACCAACCTTTAGAAACTCACCCCTTCCTTTACGTATCTTCCTTACCACAGCTGTAACAACAGCCAGTAGACTTTTCCTGCCATTAACCAGAGAATAAATACTTCAGGCTGTGCTGGCGTCGAGTTTTCTGTCACAGCTCCACAATCCGGCTGTTGCCAGACCCAAGAAGAATAGGTGAGTGGGTATGATTGTGTCCCACTACACTGCCACTTGGGAAAACAGTATTCGGCTAGGCTCAGGCAGTGTGCAGAGCCCTGGTCCGGACTCTAGCATTTGGAGTGGACATGCTCTGCACTCTTCTGAAGAACCCTTCTGTGCCCCTTTCCCGTTCCAGCTGCTGAGCTTTGACAGCTTGCAGTGGCCATGGTATGGATGTCTGCCACAAAACAAGCAAAGGAAACCATCAGGGTTGCTCCTATGTCCCCCACACTCTGAGCTCATCTTCCAATCCTCCCCGCCCCCAGTCACTGTCTTCAAGACCTCCCCTAATGCTTCTCTGGGGGAACTTCTGACTTACCAGGTCTGCCTGCCATGTAACAGCTCATGACAACCCCTAGCAGCCTTGGTCCTCTGTGGCTAGTGGAGCACCATAGCTGGGAAGCAAGCTCTGAGTGTAGACTCAAGGCCTGACGGCATTTATTCCACAGGCTGGTGAGACCAACCAGCCACCAATCAGAGTCCACCACAATGGCATACAGTCTTGAGAAGTGGTAGTGTCGACTGACAAAATCCTTGCAGATTTTAGTCGCTCTTTGTAACAAGAGCTCCTTGGTAAGAGATGTCATGGCCACCTCACCAGCAAGGAAGACTCAACACAGACTCTTCTACCTGCGGGTTATTCAGGAACCTTGAATCATCCTTTGACCTCTCGCCCCGAGGAAAGCCAGCCCCCAGCTTAAATAACCTATGGCCTGTCCATTCTCTACTGCCTCACTACATCGTTGGTCCTCAAGACAGCCTCTAACTAGTTTCCAAACTGGTCTGACCCCACTCTTAAGAGTCCCTTGTTCAAAGGCAAAGTCTAGGTCCCTCCCTAACTTTTTCCATGATGACATTGAGAGACTTCCTGAAATAGCGAACCAGGGTGCAATGGTATCACACTCGTTCAGAAACCTCTCTAGGATACTTCATTTTATTTTTAATTTCTATGAATGTAGCAGCTCATTCAGAGCCAAAAAAAATTGGGGGCGATTGAGATGCGCCTGTATCCAAGCTATTAATGTTTTCTTTTAAACTTTAACTTTTGGTTTGATAGCTTGCGGCACCTGCTCTTACTTTCGATTTTACAGCTTGCGGAACCGCTTTCACTTTCAGTTTTACAGTTTTGCTAACCCTCCCTGCTCACTCTCTATCTATAGAGGACAGCAGACTACCCACTTCTGTCGTGGAACTTTAACCCCGCTCTTGTCACGGTCACAAACCCCACTCTTGTCGTGGTCATTAACCCCGCTCTTGTCGCAGATACCCACCTTACCTGGGAACTTACCAGTGCACTACCCTGCCCACAGAAAGTTCTGAGTCCAGAAGAGAGGTTGTGTCCCTGTATGGGCCATGACTCGTCGTGCCTACCTTGCCAGCAAGGAAGATGCAACACAGACTCTTCTAACTGCAGTTTACTCAGGAACCTTAAATCATCTTCTGACCTCTTGCCCCAGGAAAGCCAGCCCCCAGCTTAAATAACCTCTGGGTAGCCAACCCCAGCAAGCCACATGGGAAATGCAGATAGGTCCACAAATGCGGAAGCAAGCCAGATCCTTACCATTAGCCATATATAGAGTTGTTTACGACTGAAAGCACTCACCGTCAGGAAGGTGGAAGGCAGAAACCAGCGCCACCTTTAAGGTGTGGCATTACCCACCTCTCTACAAAGAGAAATGGCCCAGTTCCCATAATTTGCAGGTCAGTCTTCAATCACCTCCCGGCTATAATCAGATCCCCAAAACAACCCCTTCCATTAAAACTGAGCACTGTAAAGCTGTCCCCTACCATGGCTGGCAGGCCACCGAGACCTGCTGTTCAGCAACAGATGAAGACAGGCAGGAAACTGTCCCACACTGTTGTTCCCATAACTGGTGGCTTGTTCTTTTGAATGACATCTGAAACAACCCCTGGAGTTCACACACACTTTGGAATGTTTCCCAAACAAAACACATAGCATCCTCACAGTGCCCATTTTGGTACTCTTTCTAAATTTTTTAATCTTTGCTTTTATGTGCATAGGAGTTTGCCTCTATGTATTTCTGTGCACCGACATTGCCTTCAGAGTCCAGAAAATTCCTCTGGGACTGGAACTTCAAATGACTTTGAGCCACCATGTGGGTGTAGGGGGTTTGAACTTAGGTCCTGTGGAAGAGCAACCAGTGCTCTTAACCACTGAACCATCTCTCCTGCCCTGTCAGTATTCTTTGTTCAAACCTTCTCCCGCCTTGCTTCTAAACTCTCTCTCCTGCATCCAACACACACAGCTTTCCCACACTTTTCTACTTCCCCTCTGGAACTCGCATCTACAGCCTGTCTTCCACTGGAGCAGAAGGATCCCAGTAGGGATGATGTGAGCATTGCTTCAATTGAAAAAACTCTGTCCATGAGTGGTTCCTACTTGGCTGCACACGGGACAAATACCTCTGAGTCACCTTCAGATATTCCCATGGGCCTACATCCAGCCATGAGCACCACAGGAAAAAAATCTTTAGCCAGGATGGAAAACCCTTACTGACAGTGCATCTCTTCCTTCAGATTGTGTCAGGGAGCCTGGCCAGAGGTCAAGGGTAGGATCAGAGTTCCTCTGGCTAGGTCAGCTTTCTTCAACAAGGGTTGGTTGTCACTTGACCGTTCATATTCACACACGGGCAGCGCAATCCCTGTCACATCAATCTGCCCAAACGCAAGAGTGAGATCTAGGAAAGTGTTTGCCAACCTCTGAATTCAGCAAGAAAACGTAGAGCTGCAGCATGCTGTTACCAGCATGGTCATGTTGTAAGCTGTGGGTTTTCTAAACAGAAACCTTGACGTACTACAATAGCAATAAAACTCAGATCAGTCTAGAATCTCTTCCTGTATGGAGCGAGTGGCTTAGTCACCAAAGAAGGAGGATTTTTCATGCATTTTATTATCTAAAAGAAGCCTGGGGTAAACATTCAGTTCCTAAAATGTCATGTGATCATTCCCTGGGCATTACAGAGAAGCAGCCACGTCCTTGGCAGTTCTTAGGCCCAGCACGCACCCTATGTAATGCACAGCTCTGGGTCACATACCTGCAGGTGAAACGGCGTCTTGGGAGGAGTAACCTGTGGCTGGAGGCTTAGAGATGGTGGTGATGAGCCATATCCAGCACATCTCCAGAGTAGGTAGATGCCACGCTGTGGCCCAGAGTCAAATGCAACACCCTAAAACATGCCCTAGACACAGTGTGTGCCTGGAAGCTTGATGAAGAACCAACTTCTATGTTCCCCCAACCCAAGACCCTTCCCCTAAAGAAATCAAAGAGAAAGAGCCATAAAAACTGCATTTTAATGATACAGAAATAGTACATAGTACATTTCTTTCCACAGCAGCACTTCATTTGTCTCTAAGTTTAACAAAATTAAGGCTACATTGGAGCATTCTGACAGAAAGGGACTGTTTTATACAATGTTATTCATGTTTTCATGAACAAAAGAATATTCTTCAGGCAAATTTTTTTAACAAGATACCAGTAAAGGAAATGGAATACAAAATGTGTTCCTTTGGGTCAACCTGATAATAATAACCACACACCCCCAGGGAGTATCCGTGGGATTTTTTTAATGAATACTTCGAGTATGAGGGCGACTCTCCAGAGTTAACATTCCACAGTACAAGGCTATTTCATAATATAAAACCAAAGACAGTTGTGTCTCCAGCAAAATCCCCTTAGAATAAATAACTAGTGAACATCAACAATATTTAAAAGCACAAGAGAACTGTGCAGAGGCCAATGGTGCCTGGAAGGATAATCCCTACATCAATAGCCCTTCTTCCTTAAATCTATTAGGAAGAAAATGAGAACTAAAATATGATGGCAAAAAACTGTCAGCACTGCCAGGCCCACCCACCAGCAAGGGTTTACCCCCAATGTTCATACTATTCACTACTCCTGGCCATCTCTGCTGCTCAGTTTGTCACCGCATTTGGACCCAAGAGAAATCCTTTAGGATTTAGAATAAGACAAAGCAAAGACCCTCAACAACTCCAGCCAGTCCACCACCTAATGAGACAACCGACAGAAGCTCACACAGGAGCCTAATTCCTTGCCAGGAAGTCACTTTGACATCATTGATTAGAGGACCAAGGCCCAAAGCCACAGAAGTTTGCCTTCACACAAGTCCTGTCCTCTGCTGGGACAGGTGGTTCACGGCCTCCTCAGGTCCCTTTCTGCTCACTAGCCATTACATCCTCTTCTCCACCTATCCCAGCTGCATTAGGACACTAAACAACTATCTCCCCGATGAAGAACTGGGGGTGGTGCTGGAATCACCAAGCCCAAGGAGGGCAGTCTTGTTTTTAAACAGAGGTCTCATGACCTACCTGCTCTGAGAAGGATAGCCTACTGGGGACATGACGACCTGTCATCTGGTAGTATGGGGGTGCAGGCAAAATCTTCCCAGAAGTTAAATGTTTACATTATTAAGTAGTAGCGAGAAATCAATTCAGTAATTTTTTTCCACTTCAACATGAGAATTTTGTCTATTTGTTTGGCTCCCAGAGCCTCTATTTCTATAGAAATAGGGTGGAAGGAAATATCCAAGTAAGTACCATCAAATACCCTCCAACATTTATGCACATTCCAAAGACTGCTAATCCCTCTAGGAATAGAGCACTGAGGTCCACAGACCAAATGTACTTAATCTAGACGTTCATGTGTAAACACAGATAAACACGGAGTCCATGTCCACTTATTCACACTTACATAGAATGACTGCTACAGACAACAGCATTGTTTGATCCACAGTAACACAGAGAGAAGGTGTTTTTGAAGCCTTCAAACCTAATAGATCTCGTCAGGAAAATGGTAGGAATATCTCTAAGCCAACTTTATTTTCTCTGTACTGTGATCTGTATAAGAATACATTATCTATTACCACTCTAGTCATTTCATAAGTCACCGTGCTTTGCTCCATAAATACTTAAGAGCTCCTATAGGAAACCTGCCTGGTGACAGTTGTTATAACTGAGATGTTCTAATTGTTCCGTACCCTAATCTTCCAAGTTGACATTAAAAATGGACATTTTATAACTAAGTTATTAACCAGAACAAACAGAAAATAACACCATGAAAGGAATTTTAGCATGTTCTGACCACTGCTGCAGGAACACAGAAACTCGGCAAAATACAGACATGCAGGAAATCAGCACTTTATAGGAAAAATTAACAAACTCAGCACACCTTCAATAGCTGGAGGAAAGGTAGAATCTTAATAAAACCATATTATTTCTTCCTCAAGGCTACAAAAGAAAAATGATTTAATATACTTGGTCCATAAGAAGAAATATTTTCTTACATCCTCAATGGACTAAAAGACATTTTGGACGTCACAATTAAAATTGTATGTTTTCAAAAATATGTTATCAATGCAATAAACTCAATAAACTTAAACTAAACTTAACTTCATTTAAACTAAACTTCATTTAAACTTCTTAAAAAACCAACACAAATATACATCCTAGAGTGCAAAATGCTTATTAAATACTTCAAGAACACAAAAGTAATTTGTTTAAAAACACAAGAATCCTTTGCTGAAGGGCCATCAACACAAAAGACACCCATTGCCGGCAATGGGTGTTGGCCTAAACTGCCAGATGGAAGAAACATGGTGGTAAGCTTTGTGCTTGGCCTCTGCCCATTTCAGATGACCTATTATTTGTACAAGCTCATGGTTGGACTCTGGTACATGCACATGTACGCATCACAAAGAAGTCTGCGTGCACAGCCTTGAATCCTTCTGGAATCCAAGGAGTGCAATTCCTCCAGAGACATCTTCAAGTACTCTCCCACTTCAGGGCAGGGTGTCACTTGTGGAATGTTAAAGCCATTCTGACCCCCTAGGGAGAAAGAGAGCTCTCATTAGGGCAGCAAACTTCTAAAAACTTCTAAGTCCTCTTGGCAGCCTGTCCCACCAGAACAATTTTACTATCCTAAAATTTAGTGAAGACTGACTCCCAGAATCAAAACCAAAACAAAACAAACAAACAAACAAAAAACTTTGTTTGACTTTCAGTTTCTAGAATTACAGTCTCCTTTCTTTGGCTTCTGAGAGGGTTCAGCAGAGAAAATTGTAAAAACAAAAACAAAAACCAACCTGGTAAAAGGACATGCACTTAGGAAAAGCTGCAGTCCTGATTTGCAGGCTGCTACTCTAGGCCCCTCAGACTTTTCTGTTCCTCCCAGACACTAGCAGCCTGACTCTTTTCCACAAAAAGCCAATTTTGAGTGCTACTGTTTCCCTACGTTTTAAGAACATACTTGCAGACCTCTAGCAAGGCTGATTTAGATACTGATTATCAGAATGCGCTCTATGGTCAGTCGGTCGGATTTGTTCTCCCAGGTGCTTTCCCAAATATCATGCTGCTAATGCTGAATGAAGCACGCACACAGGGTTGGTCTGTACCCTCAGGTATTTGAGAGCATACGGAGAAATGAAGACCTGTTGGTCTACAGCTTGGGCCTCTGGTCAAGAAGCTGTCACTCGGTGTCACACCTGAAGACCTGGGGAACTATGGCTTGGGAGAAGAGCTGTGGAGTAAATGGGGTATATACAGGTACTGGGACAAGTACCTTACTACCAAGACCCCTGTCACACAAGTGTGTACTTATTTGTAGGATCCTGGGTTGTCCCCCCTACCCTCCCACCCCTTGAGGTGGAAATTGCAAGTACTGTTTTGGCTAAGCAAATAAGCTTCCTGCTAACTTCTGTGCTCGTTCTGCCAGCCTGGAGATTTAGCCTAGGGCTTTGTTTTACTTTTGGTATGGTAATTTCCCACCTGCCCCGAGAATGTGGTGCTGAGTCTCCTCTCCACTGTTTGTTGCTGCTTCCCCGGCCCCCCACCCCTGCCTGGGTAGGAATTCTCACACAGCGCCAGGGTCTTCGCTCTGTCTGGCTGGGAGGGTATCCCTCTTCTGGGGCAAAGGAATATTAACTTTTCAGAAAGCTAAATAAAGTGGCATTCGGCTATTTCTTGACGAATGACCCAGGTCTCTTTGTGTCGTGTCTTTTGTTCAATCTCCAGGCCTTTGCCCCAAGCTCATGGCCAGTACGAAAGGCACACAAACCATACCGGCAGAGGGTGACACAGGACCGGGTGCTTACACTAAGTAATGACTAAGCTTCCTAAAAACATCTCAATGAGTAAAGGTTTCTTCCTGAAATAAAATGCATAAGATCAGGAAGACTAAGTTAAATACAAACCATGCAACCTTCACCACCTTTAACGTTAGCTTAGACAATAGGAAAACAGGCATGATTTCCATGACCAAAGTATTCCCACAGAGTTTGGCATTTATGTCCTCAATAAATGGCTACTCTACTGTGTATAAAAATGCAAGGAAGTAGATGGTAAAATCAGCTCTAAATAAACTTTAGGATTTTTTTTTCTTTTGAGGTGGGACAAATTGAAATAGGTTCTCACTATGCAATACAAACTGACCTCTGATTCACAATCCTCTACTTCCCAAGTCTGGGATTAGGGCTAGGATTCTTTAACAAATTCATGTAAGGACCAAGATGCCACATTATTGCTCCTTAGTTTGAGTATAGAATTAGTAATACCCTTTGAAGATTAAAGTCTGTCACACTGTGGTATCCTTTAAAGAATTTGTTCACAAAATACCCTATTACTACAAACACGTGCTCTCACTAGGAAGCATCTCACTCCAAAAGAAAAGTTTTAAATACCATCCCGATCAGCCATGCTGTCAAAGAAGAGCCAGGCAGAATCATCCTTCCCATACTTCACAAAGGCAACATAGTGGCTCGTTTCTATGCAGAGAACAGCAAACAACTCCATCTTCTGAGAGGGGATGCAGCCGTGTCTCCAGTCCCAGTCAGGCAAGTCTTTGGGAAGTGATACTGGGTGATATGTATGATTCATCCTCTTGGGATGAAGGTGAACCTAAAATGGACCATGAAGAAAATACCACAAGTGAGCTAAATGCCATGTTTCAAGGGCAGACTCTAATCACTTTCACTAACCACCACCACAGTCAAGTTCTACACACACGAACACACACACACACACACACACACGCACGCACGCACGCACGCACGCACGCACGCTGGCAGAAGAGACCTGAGCAATAACATTTCCTGTGAATGTTTACAATGCCCTTTGACTCTGAAAGGCTCTCAAACCCTGCCTTCTGGACCATCAGTATCTGACTGGTGTAGGGCATGTGGATTACCTGAGTGCAGCAGGTCTTACAGAACTGCTTGATCTTCCCTGCTGTGATGTCGGGGTCATCATAGCACTCTCTGCACTCGAACATGGCAAGTCCTCCACAGATGCGGCACTCCCTCGGAGCTAAGCAAAGAGGGAAGGGGGAAACCTTTTAAAAAGACATTCTGTCATTAAAAATGAAAGCTATACTTTGAAAACAAGGATGCTTGGGGGCTGGGGAGAAGAAAGGCCTAGTCCTCTCTGACCCTCTTAAAATTTCATTTGGATTTTTTTGTATCTGTAGTATTTTTCAGGATTATATAAACCAAAGTCCTAAGGAGCTGGGCACTTTGTTCAATATAGTGCTTACTTAGCATGTCCATTTTGTTAACCTATTGTAGAATTGTTCTTCTGGTCATGAAATGTTCAAAGATATAAAGTAAGTATTAAAGACTAATAGCATATATGATCTTAAGTCAGTAAGTAACAATCACTGCCATTGTCAACTTTCTCTTACAATTTTATGTCTGAATATTTACATGAGTATGTGCACCCAGGTGCATGTGTATCTCAAGTGTCTCTCGTCTAGCCTCCCGATGCTCTCCCTTCCACCGTAACTACCACACACTGTTTTCACACAGGTCTATGGTTTAGACATATAATCCAATTAACCACCTCCCTCTTATTAACATTTCTTGTCTCTAATTTCTTGTCAGATAGTAAGTAAATTTCCATTTAAATTATTTATTTTGACCTCTTTTTTTTTTTAGAATAAATTCTAGCAGTCAAATTATTGAGTTAGTATGTCTAAGCTCTTCAAATACTGAATTACCTGTCAGAAGTACTAT